TTATTCTACTGAGCCATCTCCCCGGCCCCTGTAGTTAATTTTTGTACATTCTATACAAAAATACCTTTGCCTATATTTCTTTCAGCAGTTTTAAATTTTTAAGTTTTGTATTTATGCATATTATCAATTTTGAGGGGCTGAGGAGATGGCTCAGTTGAGTTGTTTTTGTAAGACATGCATCCTTCCTTTCTCCTTCCTTTCCTCCCTCCCCCTCTGTTCACTCTTTCTTTTTTTTTTTTTTTTTCATTTATGTATTTGGTACAGGGTCTCATTACACAGCTCAGAATCCTAGTGATCCTCCTGGAGGATCAGCTTCCCCTGCACTGGGATCACAGGCATATGCCACCATGCCCAGACTCGGTGGTCAGCTAAGCGCACCCTGGGATTGTGGCCGGTGTGGCATGTGGGACTAAAGTATTTCTTTTTTTAAACTATGCATGTGCATGCTCAATTGTTCAGCATTACCTTTTCTCCATTAAATTTCTCAGCAATTTGTCTTTGCCAAAAATCAATTAACCATGTATTAGTCCATTTTTTTTTTTTTTGCTATATAATGAAATACCCAAGTCTCCAACCCTGCTAAATAAACAAATAAGTCAAAAAATAACTTGATCCAGAGACATAACTCAAGGATAAAGCGTTTGGCCAGTATTCAAGGCCTAGGTTCAGTCCTCAGCATTGAAAAAACATTGAATCAAATGTTTCTAACAGAATCTGTAATGCTTCCCTCCAGGACGGAGAATTATATGGACAAGGGGCTAACCTTTCTTACTATTGAGTTGTTTATATCTATCTGTTAGATCTTCTTCCAAAAAATGCATTACCTACCTAAGAATTAACAAATAAATGTTATGTTGTAAAGTAATAAGATCCAAAAATACTGAAGATGACATACTGAAGTATAAATAATTGTTGAAAAGCCCAAAGCCTGAAAACTGGCTTTCCGCATGATAAAGATTGAATCTAGACCCGTATCTTTCATCATACATTAAACTAAATTTTTGAACCAAAAAAAATGGTTGAAATGTTTAACTATTAAAATAGAAACAATCTGCTGGAAGACAAAAATACGTAAAACTCTTGAAAAGAGATTTCCGAACAAAACCCTGGTTGAACAAGAAATAATACTAAAGAATAATCAAATAGGATTATATAAGATGAAAAAAACTTTTGCACAGCAAAGGAAACCACCAACAGAGTGAAGAGATAATGCACAGAATGGGAAAAAAAGTATGTCTGGTTTCAACAAGGGACCAATATATAGAATATATAAAGAACTAACAAAATGTATATCCTCCAAATGTAAAGATCCAGTCAAAAATTTGGCATCTGTAATGAATAATCACTTCTCAGGTGAAATGCAAGGGGCCATTAAACACATGAAAAAAATGTTCAGCTTCTCTGCTCAACTGAGAAACACAAATGGCAACAACACTGAGATTCCGTCGTATTCCAGAAAAGAATATCTATCATCAATAAACCAACCAATAACAAATGCTAAAGTGGGTGCGCTGAGCCGGCCACCAAGACCAGACTGGGTGTGGGGCACACATCTGTAATTCCAGTGCCAGAGAGGCTAAAAATAGGAGGATCACCACAACTCGGAGCTCTGTAGCGAGACCCTGTACCAAATACATTTAAAAAAAAATTTTTTTTAAAGTCCAAAGCCCTCACAATTTTTATGTTTCTAAAAATGACTACAGGCCAGATGTGGTACACACCTGTAATTCTAGCAATTAGGAGGTTAGGCAGGAGCATGTCTGTGGTTTAGAAAACAGCCTGGATTGCATAGGGAATACAGGGCCAGTCTGAACTACACAAGACCCTTTCCAAAGAAAAAAAACCTAATAAACTAATATCACATAAAATTTTATGATTCCTTAGTATCATATCATCAAATATCTAGTCAGTTTTCAAACTTCTAATTATCTTACAAATGCTTTTATAATTTTTAATTAAGGAGTTATAGCTTATATCGTTTTCATATCCTACTACAAGTGCATATATAAATATATATATATTGGCTCCCCCTCCTGTTTTAGGTTTGGTTTGCTTTCCTTGCATTTTTCTGCTGAAAAAAACAGTTTGGGTGTGCTGTAGTTTTCCAGTTTGGAGTTCACTCATTGAACCTTTCACAGTATTGTTTGTTTCTCAAGATGTTCTCTCCACTGAAAACATATAGAAGCTTTATCAGATTAAAGGTGTTTGTTGGTGCTACACCCCCATATATAATTCCTTAGAAACACCAACATAATCATAGTCCAGTTGAAACCTCTGAACTTTTCTAGAATGTATTCTATAGTCACTTGAGTTTCCTCCGGCCAGCACAGGGATTTAAATAAGGCCAATAGTGAGGTCCCTGATGATGACTTCCCTACTCCACGGAAGACAATGAAATCAACATCTCCAGCTGCCTCTTTTCTTTTCAGTAGCCCCACATGAGCTTCTCCCTCCTCTGGCCTGGGAAGAGAGGTGAGAGTGGAGACTCACTTCTAAGCCCTGAGAGGCAGGCTGTGATTTGCTGATTATTTGTAGCCAAACAACATAGACTTAAGAGATCGATGGGCCTAGATGTTAAACTTAATTTTCCTCCATCTTTAAAAAAAAAAAGGAGGGCGTCTCACGGAGGAGCGGGCCGAGGCGCGATGGAGCGAGCCAGGTGTGTCTGCGCAGCTCATTGCTTGCGGTCCGCCTTGTAGGACTCGCCGCGCTGCGTGAGCCCGGGCGCGAGGCCCTCTGTTCTGCAGAACCAGTGGCGACTCAGTTCTACTGCGGAGCATCACGGTGAAGTTCTTTCTATGCTGAGGGGCGTGCCATGGCCGACATTCCTGGATTCCAGGAGCTGGGTGGGGCTGGTTTCATGTAGGAGAAAAAAAACTCAGAAAAGTAGAAAGAATCTTACTGGTATTCTGGTATATCTTACTGGGTCTGCCTCTGCAGCTCAGGCTGGCCTTGTGCTCACTTTATATCCCAGGCTGGTTTGGAACTCCCAATGATCTGCCTGCCAACACAGACTCCTGAGTGCTGGAATTACAGGAGAGTGCTGGAATTACAGGGATCGCTTACATCTGAGAAGAACTACAGAACAGCACGTGCCAGAGGTAGAAGTCCAAGTGAAACGTAGACGAACTGCTTCCTTGAGCAACCAAGAGTGTCACTTGTACCCCAGACGTTCTCAGCAGCACCAAATTCCTGTGGTGGATTTCCAGGCAGAGCTGAGACAGGCGTTCTTAGCTGAGACCCCCAGAGGTGGTTAAACTCCATTGGAACATCAAGACTCTTACCTGCTGGTTGTGAAACATCTGAACACCTTGCGTTGTCTGTAGGAGAACCTGTGTCATACTTTTATAGCTGTACCTTAGGTGTTAAGGCTCCTGAAATTTTATCGTTGACACTGGATTTGGTGAAACAGCAATCATGATGGTGGGCAAGAGCAGCAAGATGCTGCAGCACATCGACTACCGTATGCGCTGCATCCTGCAGGATGGCCGCATCTTCATCGGCACCTTCAAGGCTTTTGACAAGCACATGAACTTGATCCTCTGTGACTGCGATGAGTTCAGGAAGATCAAGCCAAAGAATGCAAAACAGCCTGAGCGTGAAGAGAAGAGGGTTTTGGGTCTGGTCTTGCTCCGTGGGGAGAACTTGGTGTCCATGACTGTGGAAGGGCCACCCCCTAAGGATACTGGCATTGCTCGGGTACCACTTGCTGGAGCTGCAGGAGGCCCTGGGGTTGGGAGGGCAGCTGGCAGAGGTGTACCAGCTGGTGTACCAATTCCCCAGGCTCCTGCTGGCTTAGCAGGCCCGGTCCGAGGAGTAGGGGGTCCATCCCAACAGGTAATGACTCCACAGGGAAGAGGTACTGTGGCAGCTGCTGCTGTGGCTGCAACTGCCAGCATTGCTGGAGCTCCCACCCAGTACCCACCAGGAAGGGGGACTCCACCTCCTCCTGTAGGCAGAGCGACCCCACCTCCAGGTATTATGGCTCCTCCACCTGGTATGAGGCCACCCATGGGCCCGCCAATTGGGCTTCCTCCTACTCGAGGGACACCAATAGGCATGCCCCCTCCAGGAATGAGACCCCCTCCACCGGGCATCAGAGGTAAGGAAGGACTCAAGAAGCCATACCCTTGAGATCTATATTCCTTTTACCTAACTCATGGATTTTATTTTTCTCCTTTTAAGGTCCACCTCCCCCAGGAATGCGTCCACCAAGACCCTAAGCTACTGTTGACCTATATCTGTTAACTTTTTCCCCTGAAAAGTGCATCTTGTGAATTGTGTAGATTATTTGTGAGCTTTTTGTCCCCTCTTTCTGCATTAATAACAGCTAAAAATAAATGCATAGAGCAACTAAA